CAATCATTCTGTGTTCTGTTATTTTATTCACAATTGACTATAAAACAGTTATGTTTTCTTCTGGGAAGTATAACTACTTGTACCAGACGTGTTGCGCAATCCCAGACGGTGCTATATCTGCTATGTAAAGATATGTGCATGATGATCTTTGGGTCTACCGTTTTAATAGCTTAGAAATGCTACTATTGGTTCTACATTCATACGTATCTGCTATATATGGTTTTGTTCATTTATAAAGAAATTGCGTCATCTAAGACCCCATATCTTTCAACGAAAGATATCTCAGCAATAGCTAAAGTTCCGTCTGCTTTCGAACCTTGTCGCTGGAAAACTACTTAGTAGTAAGAATACCCGTTAAACAAATAGTAATTTAATGTTGGGAGTTGTTGACCAGTTTATTTCAAATATATCAAGTAAAAGTCCACCTAAAATAAGTGAAATCATAGAAACAAAAGCAAACAATACACAATTAATATATTTATAATTCTGTCGTAGAGATCGAAAGTACAAAATGCCAACATGTTGACACTGTGTCGGATTTGTTTAAAATTGTACATCAGTGAGCATATTTAAATCAAAATGGTTGTCATACAAATCATCATCGTACCGAAACAGACTTAAGAAATATCAAATATATACATTTGTTTTACATTATCGACGATTACACTCTATATCTGATTAAATCTGAAACCTCGAGGTAAAACTACTTTCAATCCGTATTAACTCCGATGTTATTATAGATAATAACCGAGGACGTTCCTGCGTCGTATCAGGTGGTCAAATGTCGTTCTATTGTATAAGTCTAGTTGTCTAGTGTCGTGGTGTTGCTAGAACCTATTGAATACTTTATCTAATATAACCGATAAAGGTAAAAAGCCCGAGTTACTCGCCATGCAGCCGTAGCTGAATCTATTGCCGACCCGTCTTTATTTTTAGTCCTGTGCAGCAACCATGCACCCAGACGAAAAGCAATAGCAAACCTTAATTTATTTTTTTATTGTAAAACCTCTTAATCTTTTCGGTCCGTGATATTAAAATGAAAAAGCATTCAATCCAATACTGATCCTCATGCATAATTACATAGTTAGATCTGATACCCAGTACGCAGCTTTTTTCAAATTGAATTTTGTTTAATATGAATTTTCTATCCAATTTCACAACGCGCACATAAAAAAGTATGAATAATAATTATGTCATGAGATAAAGTATCACGAAATAATTCGTAAATCAAACAGCGTTCAAATAAACAAATTTAATTTCGTTCCCAAAATGTTTTCATGATTTTGCTGATAATAATAATGCTTACCCCGAGGTAGTGAATAAACATATTAAATTAATGCAAGGCAATATCGCTTGATGGTACTAGTGATGATTAAATTATTATTCTATATTTTTTCTAGGAGGTGGAGGCCAAATGCGTGTACCGCAAATATATTTGTATTTGCGATCTAGAGGTACGTTTATATATATATAGAGAGAGAGGATATAGAATGAGTGTAGGTTTAAAACTAAATTTATTGAACGAGTTGAATAATATCATATTATGCGAGCCTCTGGCGAGCATAATATTGTTTTATTCAACTCGTTCAATAAATTTAGTTTTGAATCTACACGAATATAATATTCTATTTATCACATATATAAAATAAGAACGGTAAACTGTTAACAAGAGTCAATTTTCTTTGACGCGCCTATAGTGTAATGCGCTTTAACGCTATGTTTATAGCGCAACTGACGTGACGACAAAGTGTTATTACACTATTGTAATATCGTCTAGTGTAATATCGTTTTTATTAAAAGGCTTTATTACACTCCTGTGCTGCAGTTTATGTGATAAATACATATGTAGACCAATAAAAATGATCAGGGGATAATAATAAGAAATTGCAGGCAGACATTGTTTCTTCTATTTTTTCATTTCCTTAAAAAAATCTGTAAGGCGGGGTTGACGTGGCCTGAGTAACCTACGTCACTTGTTGTGAATTGACGGAGACATCTTTTAACTTGTATATTAATAGTTACGTTTAAATACTTTAAATGATATAAACATACTAGATACATACAGAAACTTGCAAATTAATGTACGTCATATAAAAAATTGCAAATAAACGCACGAGGTTTCGGCTTGTCACTGTCGTAGTATCGCCTTCCTGTTGGGCATGCGCACAGAGAAGATAACAATGGATTAACAATTAAGAAAATACTTTTACAAAGGATACATTTACAATCAAATAATATAGTTAACAGCTTTGGATCATGATGTTAGAATAAAGTTAAGTCCATTTAGCGTTTTGCTTAATGTTCACTGTTTCGGACTACTGATAACATCTTTACATAGTCATCCAGTGTGCATGCTTCACATGAAGGCGAAACACGATGGTGAAAACTAGAAAGTAGGATGGTGAAATGTCGGAAACACGATGATGAAAAGTCAAAATAACGAAACAATGGTACACCAATAGTGAAAGGTCGACAGTACGATGGAGAAAACACGAAATATATTGAGGTTTTACCATCGTGGTTTCGTTATTTCGAAAAAATTTAACCCCTCTTTCTTTCGAAAATTTTTATCAAACTTTCCATTTTTAAAAAAGGTTTTTTTTATTTTTAATTTTAAAAACCCTGTTTTTTGTGTTTTTGTTCTTTCTAGCTTGTGTGTGTGCGTGTGTCGCGATGGCCCCAATGGCGCACTGAACATTTCTACAAAGCCAAAAAAAAAAATTTTCTTAATGTTTTGAAATACTTTTTACGTGTTAAAGAATAAAAGGAATCCCCATTTGTGCATGTACCAAAGTTATGTCTCATTTTAAATTGTAAAATTATTTGATAAGTAATAGTTACTGTACGAGAAATAGGTCTGCATAGTATTTACAGACCCGGGTGGCGATTTGAAGACCGAGAGAGCGTAGCGATCGAGGTTTTTAAAAGGCCACCGGGTCTGTAAATACTATGCAGACCTATTCCGAGTACGGTAACTATCTTACCTACATGCTCTTTTGTTTTTCTATCCATACATCAGTTTTTAACTCAGTATTTATTAATATTACTTACAAGAAACACATTATTTATGTACTTTATCATGTTTAAGAAAGCATAACAAAGCTATGCAAAGATACCATCCTCTACGCTCTTGTAATTCATTCGTTCACAAATCAGGTGTTATTTGAATATTTTCGTGTTTCTCGTGGAGTTTCATTATATAATAAAGTCAGGTAATGTACTTGTTGAGTTGAGTCACAGAAAATGAAAACAGAACTTGTCGAGTAGGCAAAGGTAAGATCATTATTTTGATATATGAAAACATAACATATTAATAATATATACAAATATTAAGGAAGATAAAAAAAGTTTTCTTATAATAAAAACGGCACACTTTATCTTTATTTATAATAAATTTCATGGTAAATAGATGATCAGGCTATTTCTAATATAATTGAAATATACGATTGTTTTCAAAGGAAAGTAAATGAGTAAATATCAGTAATACATGTAGATATACCGTCATGTAAGTTGGGTTTTTTTTTGTTGTTGTTTTTTTATGATGGCTGATTTTTAAATATTCTTAGAATTTCATTCGTGTTTGGAAGAATTTTCATTCGGTGTATTCTTAATTAGCATCATCCGTTATTCATATGTTTGATAAGACCGCAAGTAAGCACGCGGTCTAGAATGGAAGCGCAAGTCGTATTCTTGCGAAGAACAGGCGAGTACTGGTATACAAAATCCAAATTGTAATGTAAAAAATTGGGGACAAAACGAAAAAAAGGTCTTATCCTTAAGATGAACTATACTCTCACTAAAAGTAATATTTTGGGAAAGAAAGATGCAGAAGATGACTTTGATTCGATATGCACCAATCGTCGTATATATCCCATATTGCAGAATTGTTAAAATAATGCAGGATTGTGCAAAATCAGACACAGTTGTGGAAATAAATGCCGAAAACTAGTATCTTATGAAGCTATATAGTTCGGCAAATGTGTTAGGTATACCGAAAAGCAAACTATAAAGAAAGGCTAAATGTGCGTTATTGTACTCATTAATATCGGCGAAACACAAACTTCAACGCCAGAACAGTAGCCAGTTCGTTTTTCTCACAAATAATCTGGAATATATGTTATGAGGGTCCTTACAGCCGTATGCGCTAATTTATTTCTATTAATTTGATGAAATGTACTTTAAAATATATATCGACCCTTTTTTCTATTCGAAGTGGTCATTACCCCCCACCCCCATATCAATTTGCACAATTCAGCGTTATTTTTCAAAATTTCTGCGTTTACGGTGAATATTGTGTAATGCACGAGTTTCTCGACTTCACATATTTTCTATTGTATAGAGAACAATAGAACAAAAACAGGTCGGTATATATTTGCAGACCTGTTAAGCGGTCGGTAAGTGATTTACTAGACCGCTTTTAACAAAAGAGCCGGTAGGTAATGGCATATTAACATTATAGTACCCTTACAAAAATCTAAACGATCATTTTCAATTGGTTACATACTTACCCCAATATCTGACTAAAGTTCAGATCATGCATGCAGCGATGCAGCGTAGCGTTAAAATTATGAGAGCTGATTTAAATCAGATAAATACATACCCCTATTTTTATCATTGTGCCCCATAAAGGATACATTAGTTTTAAATATTTAATGAACTATGTCTATAACTCTGTACACCTTACTTCGCAATATATTCTTACATTTGCTGCAAGGTTTATTTAAAACATTATAACAAAAAATGTTATCGGTAATCTGTCACAGCACGAAATCACTTTTTACACTTTAAAAAGTAATTGAAAATTCCCATGAATTCTTTGGTTTAAATCGCATATCCTTTATACTTCAGGTTTAAAATTGTTTTTATACAAATGTGTACATTTATTTTTTAATAGTAAGAATGTATACATTATGATACAACAACATAATCGAGAAAATATAGTTTAAAATTTAAAACTCGGATGTTCTTTTAGATAACAGCACGTGAAAGATGTAACTTACCTGTCCTCCAGCTGTAGTTCCACAACCCACCCCAATCATTTTGTTTTTCGTAGCATACGAGTTCTATGTCACTTCCGCTACCCATCTTGTTAGCAAAGTGGTATAGAGTAGACATTCCACTTGGACCTGCCCCAATCACGCAAATTCTTTTCTTTGTATTCATTTCTAAAGGAAACAGATATTAAAGTGAATTAAGCTGGAGTTTTCATTTGAAGGCCCTTTATGCCTCCGAAATGCTTTTATTTTCTATTCCTTAAAAGCTTAAAATGTTTTAAATTAAGGTACTTTTAAATTAACTAAATAGAAGCTCATTGAATAATTACCTGAACTATCTTTTTCATCTGTTGCTTTATAACAATAAGTATAAGTATTTTGTATGAAAGTCAAAATACTACTTGGTTCACATTTTGTTACTTTAATGATAAAATATTTCACATTAAATCATTATTTCCTTCAGATGGCAAGCATCTAACATTCTCTAAAAAAAAACAACAACATTATTTAAACATAATAAGAGATAAAAGGGTTATTTCTTAGGCATTATGTGCCTTTCAGGTATATATTTTGTACTTTAGGAAAATGCCTTTAATCACTGAAAACTAAAATTGTTAGTTTCGAAAATTATTATAGTATAACAGCCGAAAGGTTATTTAACAAGCATGAACACTATTTGGAGGCAAAATTAAATGTTCCGAAACAAAATATTATGCTGATATTTGTAGTATGATTTTGACCATTTAGCAATTATTTCGTGCATGCGCAATTCGTTCATAAGGCAATATTCCAACAAACTTCATCCATAAGAGGTATAAGGGATTTTTTTTTGTCAAAATTCAAACAAAAATTTTATAAACTGCACACAGCAGAGATAAGGCTTGATTTTTTTTTAAATATAAACTGTTGATTTACTAGACCGATTATATATAGCCGATTTACAAAATAAAATGTGTTACGATTTATTTGAAATGCTGCAATTCTTATAAAGTCTATAAAAAGAGAAAAAAGAAAAGATACTATCTCGCTTTTCCAGTTTAAAACTAACATTTATATAGTAACTTCTACCAAGATTTCTACCTCTACTCGCTACATGTTACGGGTGTGAACAGTTATTTTAGCTTACCTTTATGCATATTTAACTATTGAGAAAAAAATATGTTGATGTTTTTAGACCCGTTTATGTGGGAAAAGGCATCGACGATAATAAATGCCATTACTAATGTTTCCTCGCGTTGATTCTTTTCTCTAAACCGAAATGCACCTGATGATTATTTCAGGGCGAAGGGGATGACAACTTGAGTGATATGTTCTTGCGGTCGTTCATCTTTCAATATTACGGAGCCCTTAAGGTGACATTTTCCACTCTTTTTCCGGTACATAATTGGTTTTACGAAATAATAATTCGTTATTACGAAATATTTATTCGTAATTACGAAATATTAATTGAATTGGATTGGAAGTTAAAAAAGATAAAAGAATGTCTAACATGGCTCAATTAAAAATGTTGCTTGTGTGACTGAGTCTGTTCTAAAATTAATGTTACCGTCTGTAGGAGAACATGACTTAAATATATATATAAGTATGATATAAATAAAATATAAAGTGTGATGTAAAGAAGAACTTAAATCGAAAAGAGTAGATCTAAGAATGGTAATGTAGACTGCTAATGAAGTAAGGCACAAGCTCACTCGTGGTAAAATACAAAGAAAAACATTTTTGGTTATGCTTGGAAACGTATTTTAACACTCAAAAACAAATGATGAAAAAAATATAATAAAAGAAAAAAATGTTCACTCTCTGTTCTTTTCATTATTTTGACTAACACGCGCGCAAAAAGAATGTTATGTTCTCCCTGTTAAATATAGTAATACTATAGAAAAAAAAAATGCAAAATATTAAATTTAATTACCTTAAACATCCTCGTGTAGGACAAATATTTTGAAAATTAAATTTTATCACTTTTTATCCAAAGACACCTAACATCAAAAGGCTTCTCTTAAATCTCGCCGGAATGAAGACCTGTAATTGATTGTCCTTAAAAGTGAACGCATGCGCAATCAACCTCCCGCCCTCGATCGTGAATGTAGCCGCTTCTGCAGTCTAGTTTAAATGTGTACTTACGCTGTTTCTGCTTATTGAAAATAATAATCTATATTTTGGATAATTTATGATATTTTCAATCGTTAAAGGTTCTTGTCTGCAATATAATTATATAAGCTTACGTGTGAATTCGCCCCATATTTTATACATAGCAATGCAAATTCTTTCATATTTTATACACAGCAATGCAAATAATTGTTAATACCAGCTCTATTTAAATGTTCTGTTCAATACTTCTTATTTTTATCCGCAATGTTGCATTGTCATATATTATTAGTTATAGCATAGTTTGGAGACATTTCTGTTGAAAATGTGTCAAGAGTAAAATCATAAACCTATACATGCACAGTGCTTTCACTGGAGTGCAGGTATAAGTTACCGTCACCCAATCGAATGCCAATTGATTGGCTCATTTGTTTTCAGGGGGTAAACTTATTATTATGACAGAGAAAGGGATAGAGATAGAAATATCATATTGAGATGTTCAATCATTGGTTACTTTTTTCTTATGTTTCATATTGCGATGACAGGGAACGTGTTTTTATTTTTGTCTATGATACAAAAGACAAAGAACATCAAACACATTTTTGACGCATTTTTTTATTGATGACAAGTTCATAAAACAATCAGCAATTTTAGACTTTTTTTTTCAAGGAAACGCGGCTGAAGACACAAGTAATCAACAGCGTCGCTAATGCTGTGCAATAAAATGGAATACTAGTGTAATTTCATCATTGCGGTGTAAATTTCAACTTCTTATTTTAGGTAATGACATTTGAATCAAGAAATAAGCCAGAAAGAACAAAGCGCAATAAAGAAACCATACACACACGAAGTTAAGCGATACATTGTTATTTGTGCTTGCTTCGGTCCTTCTGGTAAATACGGCATAATATACAATTATTGCAAGGTGTTTAAGCCTATCAGAATTTGATTATTTTTTTGCATTGTTATAATAAATCGTATGTCTCTATAAATTTCATAAGTCGATTTTTTCGATCACAAAAGCAATAGGATTCAATAGTTAAATTTTCTCGGCTTCTGGGTAGAAACACGCTCCAACAAAAACTGCGAATTTTGTATAAATATATAAAAATAATATTGCCCTTAATATCGACAACTCTACCGTTGTTTTAGTACTTTCATTGGAAGTTCAAAAAGATAACACAATGCCTTGGCACAACCGAAAATGTTGCTTGTGTGACTCAGACTGTTCGTAAATTAATGTTACCGTCTAGTAGGAGAACCTAACTTAAATATATGTAAGTATGTTATTTAAAAGTAAAATATAAAGTGTGATGTAAATAAGAACTAAAATCGAAAAGAGTAGATCTGAGAACGATAATGAAGTCTGCTAATGAAATAAGGCACTAGCTCATTCATGGTAAGAATAAAAAGAATAAAAAACATATTTGTTTATGCGTGGAAACGTATTTTAACACTCAAAAACAAATGATGAAAAAAAATATAATAAAAGAAAAAAATGTTCACTCTCTGTTCTTTTAATTTTGACTAACACGCGCGCAAAAAGAATGTAATGTTAAACGTAGTAATACTATAGAAAAAATGCAAAATATTAAATTTAATTACCTTAAAACTCCTCGTGTAGGACAAATAATTTGAAAATTAAATTTTATCACTTTTTATCCAAAGACACCTATCATCAAAATGCTTCTCTTAAATCTCGCCGGAATGAAGACTTGTAATTGATTGTCCTTGAAAGTGAACGCATGCGCAATCAACCTCCATCCCCCAATGGTGAACGCCACTTATGCATTAACCCGATAAGTGTAGTTTAAATGTGTACTGCTGATTGAAAAAAATGCTCTATATTTTGGACAAAAAGGCATTAAAATTTATATTTTCAATCATTAAAGGATCTTGTCTGCAATATTATGAGTGAATTCGCCCGATATTTTATACACAGCAATGCAAATTTTTTCATATTTTATACACAGCAATGCAAATAATTGTTAATACCAGCTCTATTTAAATAATCATTTTTTTTGTTCTGTTCAATACTTCAAATATTAGTACACAAAACAATTTAAGGAAGCTACGTTCACACAGCAACATGAAATGTGCACTACTGTACATCAAACAGACACTGGACATGACAGAAGATAGGGTACACGTTCGTTCACTTTACTTCAATATATGTTTAAAAATGAAAACACTTTAAACCGATCTTTCAAAACAGTAACAAAGTGTTTTAGACAAATAGACCCTCCCCCCCCCCCCTGTCTAAAAGTATTTAAGCATTGATGTTGATATTGTTGATAACACTATTGTTCTTGGATTCAAGTAGCTGGTTTGTCATTTATAACAAAGCCATTAGTAATAAACCTAACGTTGGACATCACCACCACCAAGTCAAGTTAAATAGTTTTCGTCAAATACTTCTGATTGACGAATTATAATTAACATTCAAATACTACTGATTTGCGAATTATAATAAACATAAACATTGTAAATACATTTGTTAAATAAATACATGTACAAAACAAACACAAGACTGTAACTACAGTACAATATTATATGTTATATTATAATAAGAAATAACAGGAAAAAATAACATGGTTATGAACAAGGAAAGAATTTTTGCACTAAATTCCTTCACAGAAAACTAAACAGCATTTCCTTTTTTAAAATATAATTGAATATACATGTATTTAGCTAAATTTAATCATCAATCTGTTTCGTTTCAAGGGTGTTCATTATTTGTGTCATATCATCTGAGTCTGTTATTTGATTGACATGTGTCATAGATTAAACATATAGAAAAGGTGTGTTTAATTTTAGAGTAATTTGCATATGAGGAGTGTAATGCATCAGTAAACTGTGTACCACCTCCACACCGCCGGAAGATAAAAACAGGAGGACCTTCACAAATATTGCCTTACCTAGACCTTGATCTATGCAATAGCTTTGCAAAAATGTCAAAATTCTAGAGTTTTTTGTAGTTACACGATAAGAGCATTAGTTACACGATAAGAGCATTTATCAAGTTGATGAATAAAAAGAAAATATTTATTTAAATGGCCTATATTCAAAATTAAAAGCGTGCAGCTCAGCAATATGTTAATTAGGTAACAAGTCGATTATGCAACACTGCACAGTTTAGAGGTCGTTATGCCTGTACTATTTTCGTAACATTTTGCAGTTCATCTTATATTTTATTCATTTTGCTGTTATGTGAATTTAAATAAAAAACTGCGATCTGATAATTATTTTGACAGGTTATATGGCCCTATATAAACGTTAATTTGTAAATATATATTGCAATTTGCGGTCATACAACCAGAAATATTTATATGGCATTTATAATACTGCAAACGATCCGTGTATGTTAAACTATATAAACGTCACGATTATCCAATGAAATGCGATGTTACAAACTTGCAGTATCATAAGACAGAATATGCAGGTTTTAAAACACTTAAAATCATCGAGGGCTATGACCTGGTTCATGATAAATTTGCAAAATGTTGAAATATTCGTTAAAAATGCACCCTGTAACTATGGTGGCTGATTTGTGTCATTCGTGATTTCGCCCCGCTACCCCGCCAAACATAAAAGTCGAAAATTGACAAGTTAAAATGGCGGGGGCGAGGAGCGAAACACGTTAATTAGTGAGGGCACGGGACAAAGTTTAAGGAATAAAACTGCGGAAGCGCGGGACGTAAAAACGCTAATAAGCGGAGGCGCGGGGCGAAGTTTGATAAATAAAATTTCGCCGCCCCCCGCTAATATGTGTGTTTTCGTCCCAAATAAAACTTTGCGGCGCGCCCCCGCGTACTAGCGATACCCCGCCAAGCGAAAAGTCGAGAATTAACAATTGGCGGGGGCGTGGATCGAAAATACGCTAATTAGCACGGGCGCGGGGCGAAGTGTAATAACTAAAATAGCGTGTTTTCGCCCCGCACCCCGCCGTTTTATTACTTAAATTATTTATTTAAGTTTTATTTATCAAACTGAGCCCCGCGCCCCCGCTAATAAGCGTGTTTTCGCTCCGCGCCTCCGCCATTTAAACTTGTTAATTCTTAAGTCTAAATCTTAAAATAGAGAAAATAAGAATCCCTTAAGAAAATTGTAAATGTTGCATGCTCGGTTTGATTCAGCCTGTTCATGGACGATACTGTCAAGTGCAAACTACCGTCCACGCCCTCTAGCACCGTCTCAAGCAGAATTCTTATATCACAAAATTCATAACTGTATCTAAAAATTATCCATGTAAAACGGTACTTGTAGGTATTGTATACGGTAGTATATAGTGACAAAGAGAAGTAACTGGTTGCTATACATAATCATTATTTCTGTGGGAAGCAGTGGTGGCTATTAATGTCAATGGTAGATTTGTTCGTTGCTTTGGAAATTCAATGTTTCTATGGGGAAACAAACTGGTTAGTATGTAAAGTCAAAGCTTGCAATGCACGTCAAAGATTGCTTATTAAATTTATTGTTTGCTATGGAAATTCAATGTTTTCTAAGGTAAAAACTGGTTGCTATATAAAGTCAAAGCCAAAGATTGCTAACTAAATTTTTGTTTGCAAAGAAAAGTCAATGGTTGCTAGGGAAAGTCAATAATTGCTATGAAAAACAATTGTTACAATGGAAAGTAAATGGTTGCTACAGAAAATAAAAGGTTCTTTTGAAAGTCACTGGTTTCAAATGAAAGTCAAAAGTTCCTATAAAATACTATTGTTGCTATGGAAAAACAATGGTTGCCTAAGAAGTCACTGTGTGGTGCTTATGAAAGTTATCGGTTGCTTGTAGAAATCACAGGTTGCAAAGTATAGTAAATGATTACTTTGGAAGTCAGTGGTTGAGAAGGAAAGTCAATGGTTGCTATGGAAGTCTTGGTTGCTTTGGAATGATTTTGGTTGCTAAGGAAGTCACTGGCTGCTAGGGAATGGCACTGGTTGCTTCGGAGAGTCGACGGTTGCTAAAGGAGTTATTGTTTCAAAGGAAAGTCAATGTCCTTTGTGGCATTTAAAGTTTGCTGTGGAAAGACATAGGTTGCTATTGAAGCTAAATGGTTAATGAACGCACCCCCCCCCCCTACACACACACACACGACCCAGCAACAAGAACTAGTGGCAAGAAGTCCAGGAGGACCTCAAACAAAAACAGGATAGGGTACAAGACAGAGCACGAACAGGCTAATCACTAAAATGATACGTCAGAAGAAATAATTTCTAACTGATTAGGAATTAAAAGAAAACAAATAACTGAATAAATGATTGAATAAAGCTTTTGAAGTAATTATTGTTCATTTAAGATTTAACAGAGAAAAACCAAGTCAGAAATTTCAATTAGGTTAATAAATGATCACGAATTATCACTAGATAACTTGCAAAATGGTCACACTAATTAAACTAATAGGAATAATAGTAATCAATCCAGAAAGAAGTTATTAATGCATTTTATAATATTTACAAAACGCAGTATTAATATAACTAAAATGCAAATAAAAACTTAGATTGCCAAAACCAAAATGGGCAGGGTGGTGGGCAAAAAATAAAAAAAAAAAAAAAAAAAAAAAAACAAAAAAAAAAAAAAAAAAAAAAAAAAAAAAAAAAAAAAAAAAAAAAAAAAAAAAAAAAAAAAAAAAAAAAAAAAAAAAAAACAAAAAAAAAAAAAAAAAAAAAAAAAAAAAAAAAAAAAAAAAAAAAAAAAAAAAAAAAAAAAAAAAAAAAAATAAAAAAAAAAAAAAAAAAAAAAAAAAAAAAAAAAAAAAAAAAAAAAAAAAAAAAAAAAAAAAAAAAAAAAAAAAAAAAAAAAAAAAAAAAAAAAAACAAAAAAAAAAAAAAAAAAAACAAAAAAAAAAAAAAAAAAAAAAAAAAAAAAAAAAAAAAAAAAAAAAAAAAAAAAAAAAAAAAAAAAGAAAAAAAAAAAAAAAAAAAAAAAAAAAAAAAAAACTACAAAAAAAAAAAAAAAAAAAAAAAAAAAAAAAAAAAAAAAAAAAAAAAAAAAAAAAAAAAAAAAAAAAAAAAAAAAAAAAAAAAAAAAAAAAAAAAAAAAAAAAATAAAAAAAAAAAAAAAAAAAAAAAAAAAAAAAAAAAAACAAAAAAAAAAAAAAAGAAAAAAAAAAAAAAAAAAAAAAAAAAAAAAAAAAAAAATCAAAAAAAAAAAAAAAAAAAAAAAAAAAAAAAAAAAAAAAAAAAAAAAAAAAAAAAAAAAAAAAAAAAAAAAAAAAAAAAAAAAAAAAAAAAAAAAAAAAAAAAAGAAAAAAAAAAAAAAAAAAAAAAAAAAAAAAACTTGTAAAGTGAGGATCAAAACGACTACAAAATAAGTAACAGAATGGCGAACAAGAGAAAATTAACCTTTATGTAGTTAAACAACCTATCAAATTCAATAACACAAATTTAAAGTAATCCAGTCAGAAGTCTAAAAAAATAAACCGTTGACCAACAAGCTGATATAACCAAAGGTCAACTTGATTCAAATAAAAACTTTATCACTCACAAGAATTAATCGATTTTAACAGGTGTACGCTACACCTGTTGGTATTGAAGTATCTGGTTTTTATTAAATAAAATTGTTTCAATGGAAGTCACTGGTTGCTATGAAACTCTTTTTTTTTCTTCTTTTTTTTTCGTAAAGGAATTTCGTTGTTTTTCTGCTGCACAACAATAATCAGACCACTTACCCCTAAATAGTTCCTCCACCTTACTGCTCTAATCCAATTTTATAGTCTGCATATGTGTAGACTGTTCCGCCACAATTATTAATTTTCCCT